CATACATACATACATACATACATACATACATACATACATACATACATACATGCATACATGCATACATGCATTATTATATATACAATAAATGATTTTTATAATTCTTATTTTTTGTATGTAAAATAAAATATAATTTTTATATGTATAATTTTTACTTTTATAGGAAGCTTGGCTCATGGTCATGCTCGAGCGAATCCAAACTCGAACTTACAAACTTTTGAGCTGAGACGAATTAAAACTCAAGTCTCTAGCTCGAATTGAGCTCGAGCTCGAGTCTAACATTATTTTGACATGCCAAGTTTAAATCGAGATATTCGGCTCAACTCAGATTCAAATCCACTCCTAGTTGAGACCTAGTAAAATAGTACTAATATCCAAAAAGGTAACATTATATACATAAACTAACAAACAGGCCATGCGCATGCCTTGAAACATCAAATGTTTTTAAATGAGAAATTAATGTTTTGCTAGAAAAGTTAGGATTGGGATTTTCCTTGATGAGATGGTCCCCAAGCTTTTATATATTTTTATTTTTTTTATTTTATTGAGCACAATTCAAAGTGTCAATGCAATAAGATAAAGAAGAATCTCATATAAGAAGCTTGTAAATGATCTGTCAAAGATCAAATGAGAAGCTGCACATAGAAATGGAAGTGACTAAATTTCTGCAATTACYATATTTTTTTTYATGTTTTGGTTTGTTCTTTGCAGTTTCGTTTTAGCTTGTGTTAGCTGATATAAGCGATTTTCTAGTAGCAATTATTGTATTTTTTTAAGGGTTAAGGGTTCTCAGTTCCGTCTCCTTAACATGGGTTGTTTCTTTTAGAGTGTATTTGGTTGCCGAGATAGTTGGTCGAGAAAAAAAATGGGAAGAGAATTTATTATTTTCTCATTTTGTTATCCTGTGTTTGGTTGTTGAACAACGTATATATGGCAGTTGCACCATTTCTAATAGCTGATGTGGCAAATTGAGGAACCACATGTCATCTCAGATTTGCAATGCAATGCACGTGGGCATTTGCTTTGGTTTAATTACCTAGGTCAACAAGTTAACCCGTGAAGTCGACAATAAAAATTACAAATAAACTCATGGCCAAATAATGGGATCAGATAGGTTAGAAACAAAATCAATACACAACGAGTTAGGCAATCTATCAAGAGTGAACATGCCAGTGTTTTGTATACATGGAGCCCACGTGGGATCCACATCTTATGCATATGGAACAATGGCGTGTTCATTCTTGATAAGTTGCCTAATCCGTTGTTCATGATTTTGTCTCTGACCCATGATCAGGACCTCAAATAAATTAATCAGCAGTTCAACTGTCCAAATCTGCAGGTCATAGGTTTTTTCTTTTTTTTTTTTTTTTTTTTCTGTGCAATATAATGTGTTATAGGGTAACTAGACCAAGAGTTGGGATTGGGTCACCTGATCACTGGTCCAATTGGCTAAATTGACAAAGGATTCAAAACATTGGTCACTATTTTACTTATTTCTATTTCCTTTTATATTCATTGTCTATCAACCAAACAAACCTTTAATATCAACTAGTAAGTGTGCACATGCTTTACACGTGACAATTCAAGATGATGATAGTGATAGTAATTATGTATCCAAAATTTCCTATAAACTTTTTGTATTTTTTATCTTTTGTTTTTATATTTTATTTTATTTTTTATTATTAATCAGATCAGATTGCAAAATATTAATCTGATTATATAAACAATTCATCCGAATATGTGATAATCGAATTAAGTTATAAAGTTTCAAGTATCATTGACAGACCTACCTATTTGGCTAGAGTCTTCTTTTTGTAATGTTTTATCTTTTTGGTGTATCTTTTTTTTATTCATTTATAAAAAAATATAAGATTTAAATAAACGGAATTGAATGATGTTAAAAGTAGTAGTTCAATTTATAATTGAAGCCTCACAGTTAAATAGGGATTAAGTTAAAAAATGAGTATTTTAGTTAAAAGAAAGTTTTACAATCTTATTCATATTTTTAGCCAAACAAGTGGTACATAAGCACTCTATATTTTGGACTCAGTTGTAATTTTGGGGGTTGGAAAGTTGGTGTCTATTTGTAACTTTCACAATTACTTTTTGTGCCTCTTTAATTAATTTAATGAAATGTTCTTCAGAGTATTGATAAAAAAGAAATAGTAGTGTAAGTATAGAATATAGACGTGTTCAATTTTTTCTATGATTTTTTTTTGTATTTCTGTGTAAAAGTATTTTTGATATGTCGTACTTACTTTTTGTTTAAATATGATAAATATATGATATTATACATGTGCTTAAATTTTTTTGCAAAATTTATATATTTTTTCATTTATGTATTTTTATATTTTGTTAATTTTATTATTTATTTATAATATTAAAGGTTAACACATTTGTTCCAAAAGTTGAACTATAGATCTTTGCCAAACAGTAAAATAATTTCATTTTTGATCAGTTCTAAATTATGTATTTCATTTTCATTATCAATAAAAATAATTATTGATTATTAGAATTATTTTTGAAATTGATTAACAAAAATATCATAAATATGTCTAATTTTTTCTATATTTTTGTAATTTTTATATTTGTTTCTATTTTAAAAACTCTATTACCTAACTATGACTCCATAAGTTGATCAATTTTATTTGGATGGTTGAATTGTTTAGCCACCAATTGGATAAAGAATGGTTTTGCTTTTGAGTTAGATTTAAAACATATGGGTTTATATTGTTTAAATTATTGACATACATCTAATTGGTAGCCTTTATTAGTGAAAAATAACTTAAATATTGGATTTAATAAGAAAAATATGGGAGTTAATACCTTAACTATAAGATTTAATGGGAGGGTATTAAATGAGGTAGAAAGTAATAACTGAAATTACATTTCCAACCCTTATAATTAAAGATTGACTAAATACATAAATATGAACATTTTAGTAGCCATAAAAGCTAACAAGTTATAATAAAATGGATTTTATACCCTTTGTCAAACAAAATACAAATAGAAGGTAATTTTAATCCAAAAAGCTTTCATTCTACATCTTCACTTTTATATATAATATAGATGAAATTTTCTCCCAATTATTTATTTATTTATTTTGGTACAACTCTCCCTAAGTATGGAGTGTAACTAGAATGAAAAAGATGTAATTTTATGTGATTTCTCTGAATAGCTACCTGGATCCAGACTATTGTATTGACCTTAGGTTTCCTTAGGTAAGATGGTAAAAACAAATTAAAAAAAAAAAAACCTTTTGAATCCGGTGTTGGCTATTCCGTTGGAGACAGTTAAACAGTACAACTTGTTGGGGGCACAGAATTTGAAATCTAAATTAGACTGACACTATTTTCTAGTAACCAAACAATATAGGTATTGGTTAAACCTCTTCCTTTTGATTCACATAACTGGTGCTTGCAGAAGCTAGAACTTTTTTTAAGGCTTGCAAGTGACTGGATTTGGGATTTAGAGATGTTATGATCGTGATTTTGAAAACCGGATGGAGCGGACGGTCGGACCAGTTAACTCAGGAACTGGTCATGTCTCAGGGTCTGGCTTGAGACCCCAAAACTGTTCGATCGGAGTTCAGACCAGATGGTTGGAACATTTTCCTGGGACCAGTAGTCCAATTTTCGAAACCATGATTATTATTGAGGATGATGCAAAGTTCATCATCGATCTTTTGTTGTTGGTGGAGATTCTTAGTCCACCTTGGTGTACCAAAAACCTGACTGCTTCTCGTAGGGATGTCAATGGGTCAGGCCTGGGTCGGATCTAGTTAGAAATGGAATCGATCTGATAAGAAAAATATGAAGGACCCGGAGCCAAATCGGATCTGACAGTGTCTATAATTTTTAGACCTAGAATAAAACCGATTGGTTCTTGTGTCAATTGGGTCTGACCCAATGGACTCAATTACAATAAATTGATAATTATATATATAACTTGGGTTGAGTCTGAATCAATTTGAGACTGGATGAAACCAATTCCAAACCAATAATAATCGGGACAATATATTAGGACCCAAAATCGGCCCATTGGTTCAAGTTTTCGGAACCAAAATTGATTCAATCGATTGGATCCATCAGATATGTCGGGTCGGACCTGTCCCATTGACAGCCCTAACTTCTCACAGGGATTTCTGTTTTCGCCTCAACTCTTGTTTGATCAAGAAAGAAGAATCTGTTGTACTCCAAGAAATTGTAATAGTGTGGTTCACTCTATGGACAAATTTACTCTTTCTTGTACTCGTTCTGTTTCTTGGTCTTCAATCTTTTCTTTCCATGAAGATATTGATAAGGGGTAATTTGGTCTGATCTATCATGTTGCGACACGTGGCCTTTGGGTGACATCTCAGCGCTGAGTAAGCAAACTAGCTCGACAAGTCAGCTTAGAGTACCTCGTTTAGGCCGACCTCTACCTCGGCAGGGCCGAATTGACAGACCTTATAAGATTACAACGACTTGTCCTAGAAGCCGGCCGAGCTGTAGGAGTTCATGGAAACCTGCGAGGAAGAGCCCGCTTACCTAGCAATACATTACCAAGCCGGGATCCCTGAAGCGCTGATACCTCGACCGTTAGACCGGCCTACCACATCGCACACCTCGGAGTTACTCGRGTAGATCATAACCCGCGTGAATCTCGCAACCGACATATTAATGCGCCCGATAAAGCGGTAATGGTTCGGTGAGAAGCATGACCACACACTCTCAAACTCTCTCAATTTCCTAAAGAACTCTCAAAAACTCTCTGACTTAAGCATCGGAGTTCCCTCCCCAGGTAAAGACAACTCGGGCACTCTAATCTCCTTCTTGTAGAATATTTCAGCTCGGCCACCTTTCAGCTTGGCCTAGCACAGTTCGACCCTAACTAGGAAATATCCCAATTAGAGTCCGAGTTAGCAGACACGAGGGAGCTTCCAGATTATGTGACATCAATTGGTGCCGTCTGTGGGAACTCTGAAATGAAAAAGCTAAGTACTCTTCCTTTACATTCCTTTCGAAAGAATAAGAACCAATGGCTTCTTCAAGCAACCAGCCCGCCAACAATGGACAAGTGCCCACCGTTGCCATTGGGCAGGTTGACGTTCCTCTGAACCCGGTCAATGTACCAGAGAATGTGAACGCGCCTCCTCTTGTGGTCAAGCCTATAGCAGCTCCCACAATAGTCGATGCACGTCAATTCTATGATCTGGTATAGTGTGTTCGAGGAATGAACAATCAGCTCAAATTATGGGAAAGCAAGTTCACTTTCATGGTGGGAGAATAGCAGCAACAACAACAATGGCATCACCAGCAACAGGTACCGCCTCCTAGGCATGTACTATGATAGAACACCGATCATAATCAACTCGACAACCAGAACTCGGTCCGGACCAGAGCCAACAACTAAATTCAGGTTCCTTGCCAAGTTCCAAAACTTGTCCGAGAACTAGCTTGCAATTGACCTCAAGTTGACAACGTGGCCCTTGAACCCCACCAGATCAAGTTGCTTGTAGAAAGCCGAGCCACAACTCTTATCGATATAGAGGCYGCTAGTTAGCCAGAAGGGTCCATGAGAAGGTGCAGGAGGCACGCCCACCGTGCCGAAAAGAAGAGTTAGTTAGAAGGGTCCAAGAGAAGGCGCAGGGGAACGCCGGACAATAAGGCAGACAACAAGGCATAAAGCAAGGTGAGCGGCAATGTGGTAAGTCAAGCAGGACTTCTTCTGGAGAACTGCTCATCACTCGGGAATCTCCATTCGCACTAGAGGTTCTTTAGGCCCCAAGGCCAAAGAATTTCAGAGCGCTCGTCTTCGAGACTTACAAAGGTTCAACCAACCCGGTAGAGCATGCCGACAACTTCCATGCCCTAATGCTACTACACGGAGCCAATGATGCAAGCATGTGCATCGCCTTTCCAACTACTTTGAGAGAAGAAGCTCGATTGTGGTACATCGGGTTGGTGCCTAGTTCTATAAAAAACTGGAATCAGTTCACCAATCTATTAATTACTCATTTTATAACAAGTAAAAAACACTCAAAGTTAGCTACTTGTTTGTTAAATGTAATTCAAAAACAAGGAGAAACCTTTTGTGAACATATAAGGAGGTTCAATGTAGAACACTTGTAGATCCCAAACCTGAATCCTACCGTCCAGCTCATCGCAGCCAAGAGCATCACCCCGACCTACGCTGGGAGATAGAGTTGAACCCCCAGCTACCATGGAAGAATTCCTTGACGTAGCGGAGAAGTTCATCAAGGCAGAAGAAGCACTTGGATCGGGGTCGAGCTGTTTGGGAAAAGAAAGCGGACTGAAGAAGAAGCGGGCAATAGTAAGAACAAATGGATAAGTAAATCTCCCAAAAGAAGCAGATCGCTAAGAAGCAGAAGCAATAGCTCGCCTCAAAGAAAGAATAAGTCTCCACCTCGGGGATCAAACCAACGAACTAGTACCCCACCTTTGTATACTAGAACTTTCACTCCCTTGAATGCAAAAAGGAGAGAAATTTTAATGCAAACAAAATCCAATAACTATGTAAAGTGGCTTCTTAGGATGAAGGGATGAAGGGCGACCCAAGCACTAGAAATCCCAACAAATACTACCACTTCCATCGCGATGTTGGCCATGACACAAAAAATTGTTGGAATCTCAAAAATGAGATCGGAGATCTAATCAAGCAAGGATACCTTAAGCACTTCATCAAAGAAGAACACTGACCTGAAGAGTAGAACAGAAAAGCACCCCAAACAAGCAGGGAGCAAGAAATAGCTCCCCGAAACCAACAGCAGGAGCGACTTGTCCGGGGGTTCATTAATATGATCACTGGAGACCACCTCAACAGGGATGAATTCAGTCAGAGAACTAGAACATGAAGATGATAATCTGCCAAAGCGCCCAAGAAAGGAAGAAGTCATCTACTTCACTGAAGATGACATGCGCGGAGTGTAGTATCCGCACGACGACACTTTGGTGGTAAGGTTACGAATCAATGACTTTAAGGTGAAAAGGATTTTGCTCAACTCTAAAAACTCGACAGACATTATATTTTTAAAGGCCTTTGAGTGCATTGATCTGGGAAAGAAGGATCTCCAGCYCACAGACAAACCCCTAATAGGCTATAGCGGGGAAGTAGTTCGTCCAGTTGGCAGCGTAAGGGTACTAGTCGAGGCAGGCTCGCCTCCTAACATGGTTCGGTTTGATCATGACTTCCTTGTGGTCGCCAGCCCCTCCCCGTACAATGCCATACCGGGCTGACCTATCCTGCACACCCTTTAGGTGGTCGTCTTGACATACCATCTGGTAGTAAAATTCCCGACAGATATAAGCATCAAGGTCATGCGAGGTGATCGATTAGAATCTCGTAAGTGCTACGTAGCTGCCTTGAAGGCAAAGGGCAAGGTTTCCATCGACATAGACCTGGAGCCACCTCCTGAGAATGCAGATGAGTGAGCTCAACCCACTGAAGAAACCATCCTGGTTCCGATTTCAATAACTGAGCCAAAAAAGATAGTGCCGATAGGAGCTCGCCTTATAGAACCAGTGCACTCCAACCTGGTATTTTTCTTGCTTAATAACCTAGATGTATTCACCTGGTCGGTAGCAGAAATGCCTAGCATAGACCCAAGACTTATAACTCATTAATTGAATGTTGACCCTACAGTTAGACTAATCTGGYAGGAGAAAAGGAACCTCGCCCTGGAAAGATGGAAAGTAGTAGATGAAGAAGTAGGAAAGTTGCTAATTGTGGACTTTGTGAAGGAAGTCTAGTACCCGAGCTGGATAGCAAATCCAATGCTGGTGAAAAAGGCCAACGGCAAGTGGTGCATGTAAGTCAAATACATCGACCTAAACCAAGCTTGCCTCAAAGACAACTTCCCTCTCCCCCAGATAGACTGCCTAGTGGATGCGGCCTCAGGGTTYGAGCTGTTGAGTTTCATGGATGCATAGTTCGGTTGCAACCAGATCTCGATGGACCTAGGAGACCAAGAAAAAATGGCCTTTGTGACCGAAACTGGCTTGTATTGTTACAAAGTCATGCCTTTCAGCTTGAAAATGTTGGGGYAACTTTCCAGCAACTTGTAAACCATGTATTTTCAGATTTAATTGACAATAAAATTGAGTGTTATGTTGATGACATGGTTGTCAAAACTTGGTTTTCAAATGATTTAATCGCTAACCTAGACCTTGTTTTCAACGTTTTGAGAAAATACAAGTTGAGACTTAACCCAAACAAGTACGCCTTCAGTGTGATGTCCGGTAAATTCCTTGGATACATTGTTAGCTGATGTGGCATCGAAGCTTACCCAGAAAAAATCCAGGCAATTTTAGATATGCGACTTCTTAGATCAGTTAAGGAAACCCAAAAGTTAATTGGCCAAATAGCTGCCCTAAACTGATTTATGTCTAAATCGGCTAGGAAATGCTTACCCTTTTTAAGGCAATAAAGAAAAACCAAGACTTCGAGTGGACTAAGGAGTGTCAACTCACCTTTGATGAATTGAAAAGATACCTCAGTTCGCCTCCTTTATTGACTAGACTAGAGATCGGGGACGAGCTTAAACTCTACCTCTCTACAAGCGACGAGGCAGTTAGCTCGGTCCTAATAGGAGAAGTAGATAAAGTTCAGTGACCTGTCTACTACGTGAGCAAAGTCCTACACGTTGCTGAGATGAGGTACTCGAACATAGAGAAGCTCGCCTTTGCACTAGTGTAGGTAGCTCAAAAACTAAGGCCCTACTTCCATGTCCACACTATTGTAGTCCTGACTGATTGACCTCTGAGGCAAATTCTTCAGAAGCCCAAGGTCTCGAGGAGACTAACAAAGTGGGCAATAGAGCTTAGTGAATACGACATCCATTATGAGCCACGCCCAGTAATAAAAGAGCAGGTCTTGGCTACTTTATTGCTGAGTGCACCTTCAACTCGCCGGCCCCTGAAGTTGCCGAGCTAGTAACCACATTGGAGGCTTCAACTAGTGTGGCACTGCCCCAACTCACAAGATCGCGACCTGGGACGGGGAGCCCTGGATACTTCATGTAGATGGCTTGTCCAACCAGAGTGGAAGCGGAGCCGGGTTGATACTCTACAAACCTAGCGAGGTGAAACTAGAATACACGTTCCGGTTTTTGTTTCAAGCTTCAAACAACAATGTCGAATATGAGGCACTTCTCATCGGGCTGTCACTAGCAAATGAAGTCGGGGCCAAGCATCTCGTGCTCGTCCAACTAGAGTGGAAGCAGAGCCGGGTTGATATCTACAAACCTAGCGAGGTGAAACTGGAATACGCGCTCCGGTTTTTGTTTCAAGCTTCAAATAACGATGTCGAATATGAGGCACTTATCACCAGGCTATCACTAGCAAAGGAAGTCGGGGCCAAGCATCTCGTGGTTTGCAATGATTCACAACTCATGGCAAGTATAAGGCTCGAGAACCCGCCATGTCAGCCTATTTGGAAAAGGTAAGGGAACTCTTGCCCAACATCCACTCTTGGCACCTACAACAAATTACAAGATCAGAAAACATAGAGGCCAACACTCTCTCCAGGTTGGCCAGCGTAATCGACTTGACCAAGAGAACGGTCTATATAGAAGACCTACCTTGCCCTTCCATAGAGAAGGCAGTAGAGGAGGTCACCCAGATAATGATAGTAGAGCTGAGCTAGATAGATCCACTCCTCGACTACCTGCACTAAGGCATATTGCCAAAAGAACGAATACAACTCGGTGAATAGAATGACAAGCAGCTCACTATGTGATCGTTAGGCGAGCAACTCTATAGAAGGTCCTTTACGTTGCCTTACCTATGGTGCCTACACTAAACTGAAGTAGATTGAGTGTTACACGAGATCCACGAAGGGCTTTGTGGAGGACACTTGGGGGGCAGGGTCATTGCCCAAAAGGCTTTACGACAAGGGTACTACTATCCCACCATGAAGGCGGACATGATTGGCTTGGTCCAGAAATGTGATAACTGCCAGCAACATGCCAACATTTTACACCAACCAGCGACCGGCTTAAAGTACTTGACCAGTCTATGGCCATTTGCACAATGGGGGATAGACTTATTAACCCCCTTCCCACTAGCAAAGTGACAAAATAAGTTCCTAGTGGTAGCAGTCGACTACTTTACAAAGTGGGTAGAGGCCGAGCCACTAGTCACCATAACAACACGCAATGTTCAGAATTTTTTCTGGAGGAATATTGTGTGTAGATTCAGGCTACCAAGGGTATTGATCTCGGACAACGAAAAATAGTTTGAAGATATCAAATTTCAAGATTAGTGTGCACAAATGGGTATAAGGTAGAATTTCACCTTGGTTGCCCATCCCCAAGCCAACGGCCATGCCGAAGTAACTAACAGGGCCATCCTCTGTGAACTTAAAGTTCGTCTTTCCTGAGCTAAAGGTTTGTGGGTGGATGGGCTGCCTAGTGTATTATGGGCCTACCGAACAACTGTTAAAATAGCGACAGGTGAAATGCCTTTTAACTTAACGTATGGAACAGAAATGGAGGTGCCGACCTTGTGATATGAAACATTCGATGATGAAAGTAATGGGGACGACCTACGAACCAATCTCAACTTGGTAAAAGAAGTAAGAGACCTAGCTTACATTCGGATACCAACAACGGGTGGCTCGGTACTACAAAGCTCGAGTCAAAAGACACCAATTTAGGGTTGTGACCTGGTACTCAGGAAGGTCATGGTACTTGAGCCCGGTGTGGGAAAGTTCGGCCCGAACTAGGAAGGCCCCTATAGGGTCTCCAAAGTTATAGGAGGAAATGCGTACGAGCTCGAAACACTCGAAGGGAAGGTAGTGCCCTGGGTGTGGTACATAGACAATCTATGTAAATACTATCTTTGAAAGAAGTATTTTGAGCTATGTTCGCAAGTTCATCAAATTCCACTAAGGCACCCAAACGGACCTGCAGCTTGGCCAAAAGGCGTTAGAGATGAACTACTACAAAAAATTTTTTTGCTAAGGCATTTGACCAACATGGCGACAATCTAACCGGGATGGCATGACAGAGACAAGAAAGAAACCAATCCAAGAAGAAAGCAAGAAATGCAAAATGCTAACTCCATTAATTGAAGAAAGGCCAATGGTCTTACATGTACACAAAAAGAAATCTCAATAGTTCAGACATCAAAAGGGCACACAGGCCCAAGAGAATCTTGCAGAAGCACACAGGCTCCCAGAATTGCTAGGAAGTTGTCACCTGTAGATCGATCAGGCTATTCATCATTGCTGCCCTAGACCTCTTCATCGCCGTTGCCCTCTTGATCTCCTTCCTCGCCGTCACCCTGAACTCGTCGTCATCCTCCTCATCCTCTTCTGGCGTCAATGGCTCCTCATCAACTTGTGTGGCGAGCTCGAGCAGCATGTCATTCATAGAAAAGGAGCCAAATCAAAGGTGGGATGCAGCATTTTCAGGTACCGGCAGTAGAGTTTGAAACCCCTCTTCATCATAGGAATACCATCCTCGGCCTTTTTCTTTTCCTACTCCGAGGACTTCAAGAAATGAGAAACAATCGCCTCCTTAGATTGGTGGATATCCTGAGTATACTTTGACTGCCTCTCCTCTAGTTGACGCACCTGGGCAGCAATGGTGTCTTGGGCCTTAGCCAACYTGCACTGAGCCTCGGTCAGTTTGCACTGCATTCCCTGATTCTACTCATAAAATCGGTGACAATCTTCCTCCGAGCTACGCTGGACCCTTTGCATCTCGGCCTGTAGCGAGTTGATGTTCGCTTGCATCTCACTTCTCTCTTTCTCACTTGCGTGAACATGGTCTAGCAAAACCTGTCCAATGGAGCTCACCTACCAAAAGGAAGTAAGTATGATTAGAACAAACTCCTCATAAACAAAAGAGCAAAAAATTCTATAAGAAGACAAACCCAAACAATATGGTGAGCCATATGAGCTCCGGCTTCAATGGGGTCTAGACTGTGGAAATAGTGAATGTCCTCTAGGAGCAACATGCCCTTGGCCAACCAGATCGCCACCTGAGGGTCAGACACACGATCAAGCATGGAAATGTCGATGACATTGGGGACAAAGCGAGGGATGTCTGAAACATAAGGGCTGGCCTCACGTTCCTCCTGGCCGACATGAGGTTGGAAGGCAGAGGGTCCAGATGAGTACTGGTCCAGATGAGTACAGGAGGAGCGGGGTGTGGCGACCTCACCTCAGCACTTGCCAAGGTCCCCTTCATTGGGGAGCGACAATCCGACTTTCACTTCTTTCTCGAAGCTTTCTTCTCCCTGTTAAGTGCCAACATAAAATCCATGCTCGCCGTATATGAAACATAAGGAACTCCAATTAGACGAGCTAATTGTTACCAAAACAAAAAAATGTAGATGCAGATGACTCAATGGCCGACCTACCTACGTGGCTCAGGCCAGCCTGAATAAGCATGGGCTCAGCCAGAACGCTCCCCACTTCGACTTTCTAGTAGACAAACTCCTGAAGAAACTTACAGCTCCATATCCAAAGACTCACCGAAGCTCCGACAATTGCTTTTCCAAATGGTGCTCATACCCCAGCAACCATCCTTAGAAAGATAGAAGAACTTACCCTTCCAACCTTTAACCTTATTAGGAAAATTAGTCAAAACCATCTGACCACCTTGGAAGGGAAGGTAGAAACAGAAGGATCTTTAATCCTCTGCATGACACACAAGCTAGAAAAAAACATCCATGTTCAAAGGGAAGTTGCAGTGATGGCACAAGCTTATCAGCCCCACCAAGGTATAGATTGCATTGGGACTGAGTTGACCTAGAGACACATCGTAGTATCTCAACAAAGACAATGAAAGGATAGAGGGGGAATCGAAGACTAGCGGCCAGCGCCTCCTCACAGACACACACTGCATCTCAATCATGGTCCCATGGGTAGTAATCGGCACGTAGCTCGATCCAATTATACTCATTGGGTATCTGGTATGTATGGCATAGCTCAACTATACGCTCCACAAATAGCTCAGTCGAGCCAAAGACAGCAACAACTTGCTTGACCTCACTCTTCTTCCCTACTAGGCACCCTCCATAGTATTCTCCAAACGAGTCCTCCCCTAAGGATCTCGCCTCGTCATCTGACCTCTGGTTGGGCGACCTACTGTCAGATTGACTATGAGATGTTGGAAGGACTAGAAATACTCACTGGAAAAGGTGAAAAAGGTTGACGGCGGCAACTAGCAAAACCTCGACAAAGGGAAAACGAAGAGCAATGCTTGGACTACGACCTCCACCAGTCAGACACCACCCTAGAAAGCTCAAAAAATAGTGCAAGTAGGGACCTTAGTGGGGACCCCTTATTTATAACCCGTCTAAAAAAGAATGAATTGTGGAGAGGCACATACAACAAATCTATGGCCAACAACGTGCATAGGAAATTTTAAAATTCGAGATTTGCGCACCTTAAGAGTGTGCTCCTGTTTGAATTTGAAATTAGCGCACCCTTTCCATGTGCCTCTTTTCGAATTTGAAATTAGCGTGCCCTTCTGTATGGCTCTTTTCAAATTTTTGTAGAACGTGCCCTATCCCAAAGTTTGAAATTTGGAACCTGCTGCGAACCAACCCTACCTCAGCTCGAGTCAAGAAAGAGTAAACCAATCGGACCAATTACTTTTATTAAGAGCTACTTCCTTCGCTGGGCTAATGCTGGCTCGAGAGTGGGGGGAAATTGATGAGGGGTAATTCGGTCCAATCTATCATGTTGCGACACATGGCCTTTAGGTGACATCTCGGTGCTGAGTAAGCAAACTAGCTCGGGAAGTTAGCTTGTTGCACCTCGTTCAGGCCGACCTCCACTTTGGTAGGGCCAAACTGATAGATCTCATAAGATTACGATGACCTATCCTGGAAGTTGGCCGAGCTGTAGGAGTTCATGGCGACCTACGAGGAAGAGCCTGGAGCACTAATAGCTCGACCGTTAGACCGACCTACCGCATCGCACACCTTGGTGTTACTCGAGTAGATCGTAACCCCATGCGGATCTCGCAACCTGCACATTAACGCACCCGATAAAGCGGTAACGGTTTTGCGAGAAGCTCAGGCCTGTTACAAGAGGGCTTTGACCACTAGTACCTATAAAAGGCACTTATTTCTATCTGAAAAGTTATGCGTGACCACACACTCTCAAACTCTTTCAATTTCCTAAAGAACTCTTAAACACTTTATGACTTAAGCATCGGAGTGCCCTCCTTGAGTTCGGGGAAAGACAACCCGGGCACTCTAATCTTCCTTCTTGTAGAATATTTCAGCTCAGCCAAGCATAGCTCGACCTTGACCAAGAAATATCCCAATTAGAGTCCGAGTCAGTAGACACGGTGGAGCTTCTAGATTGCACGACATCAGATATCATTTGAAGTGAGATGTAACTATATAATCAAAAAACAAAAGAAAAATTATGTTGAAAATGATTGTTTAAGAAAATTTTCTGAATATACATCCATCATTTTGAAGAATGAATAACAAACTTTAGTAAAGAGGGTTCGAGCTAATATGCTTGAAATTTAAGAGACTCTCTCTTTCCACTTAAAAAAAATAAAAAATCTCCTAAATGACCTTTTTGAGTTGCGAATTCTTTACCAGAAGCCTTTTTGTTGATGTTGTTTCTATAACTATGATTGTAAATGTTACTTTTAAATTTTTAATGCCATGCTACACTGTACTAATAATGGGGATGGTAATTTGTGATCTTTTATTTTGATAAATAGTTCCATATAAAATAAAAAATCCCCATTTATATTAATTGGTTATAATTTTATAAAAAGGTTTTTGGGTATATATATCTTTTCATTAGGACATAAATACTTAATATATTTTAGGGGAGCATCTAAATGATCATTTGTTCCTTCCCTCCTTCAAGGAAAAAGTTAGGACTACAACAATTTTATGTTATTTTTTCCTATTGAAAAATGTTATCTCTCTATTTGGATGTAAATTCTTTACCAAGATTTCTCATGTAAGAAATTTGCTTCTTTGGTTGGTTTGATATTTAGGCCTGAGTAATAATGTCCTATTTATATTTTTCAAAACCCTATTTTGCCACTCCCCTTGAAGGGCTGATTCCTAAAATTTCTTAAATCATTTTCCGAAGTCCAAAACCAAATCCTGTTCTCACTTCAAATCCMAAAATCTAGCTCTTTTAGTCTCCCACACTTTTCTTCATGGTCTTTTTATCTCTCTTTTAAAGGTACAAAATATTAGCCCTTTTGCCTATTTCTCTCTCTAAAACCCAATAACCCATGTTTTGTCCCTTAAACTTTCTTATAAATACTGATGAACCCCCCCTTCAAATTGCACCATGGCTTCTCTATTGTTGGGTTACGTCATTTTTATTTTTATTTTTATTTTTTATTTTTTATAGTTACTTCACCATTAATTCATTCTGTTTTAACTTATTTAGACAAAAAATAGCTTTGATTTAGGAACCCAAAATAAAAACATCAAATGCATCTCTTCCTCTATTTCATTCTCTTTCCATTGAAGACTTAAGTTTAATATCAAACAATATTTGGGGATCAATTGCAAGGTTTTATATGTAATATGTATTTTATTATTTAATAATAACACCATGTGTTGATCCATTTGATATGAATAGCTGAAACACTAACCCACCACTTGGATGGAAAAAACACTTTTTCTTTTTTGGTTGATTTTAAATCATGTATTACATTTTCATCATCAATAAAAGTAATTCTTATTTTCGTATTTATTTTTGCACGTGACAGTATCAAATGATGATGAACCATTGACCTATTTAACTAGGAAGATGGACTATGATTAAGACATTAATTCTCATTTTTTTCTTTGTATTTTAGCCATTCCTATCTTTACTAACAATAATATTACTTAGTTATGACATCAATACATCATAGATTGACCCATTTGACCCAAAATGTTAGATCATTGACCTACCTACCATCTAGATATGGAAATGGTTTCATTTTCAAATTGGTTTTAAATTTTGCATTTCATTTATATCGTTGATAAAATAATTCTTATTTATCATACATTTTTTTATATTATTAGTATATAATATTATAGATATGCCCAAAATTGTTTCATATTTTTTGTATTATTCTATTTTAAAAAAAATATTTTTAATTATACATCATGTGACCTAAATGGTTGAACAACTAACCTATCCTCTAGATAGGAAGATGGTTTAATTTTCAATCGGTTTTAAGTTGTATATTTGATGTCCATCATTAATAAAATTATGTCTATTTTATCATAGTTATTTTTTAATATGACAAATATATAATAATAGAAACGTGTTCATTTTTTTTTTTCAAAATTTCTTTTTTTCTTCTATATTTCTTGTATTTTTTATATTTCTAAATTGTATTATTTATTTATGACATCATGATATTATCCATTTGACCCAAATGGTTGAACTACTTACCCACGACCTAAATGGAAAATATGATTTCATTTTTAAGTTTATTTTAACATATAAAATTTCATTCTATTAATAATGGTTGTGTATGAATTTATTAGTGGAATTTAATGATGATAAACAAAGTATAAATGTTTGAATTTATTAGTGCACTACAATAAAGGAGATGCTAGCAGAAACTCAGTATCAAGCTACTAGTCTTTCTTTTGATGCATCAGGTAAGTTGAAACTGAAATGGAAAAGAAAAATGTGAACCCGGTGTCACAATGCTCACACTTGAGTATACATTCCTATATGGGATCTATCCACACAATGACACAGTCACCAGAACTAGTTTAGAACAATGTAAAAGCTCATGCTTGGAGGACCCATGCACATCCGTGACTGTAGTAAATGATGGTACTGCACAATGCCTTACAAAGCTAACTCCACATATTACTGGTTATGCACATCCCTCAATAAAGTCAATATCCATTGTCAACTGTGTTTAGATCCAGTTGCTTTCTTTCCCAAACACTGCCCTACATCCTCTGCATACCAGTTCTGTATTCCATGTCTTATTGGGGCAACCATGGGCACACTTGTAGCATTGGTTATAATTCAGATTGGAATTGGCCTTTGTATCCACAGAAGGAAATCCATCAAGAACACCACAACTTTATCTCACATGGATCCTAATTTCAAAGGCTTGATCATTTTATCCTATAGAGAAATTAAGGATCTAACTGGGAGCTTTAAGCATTGTCTTGGACCAAAGAGGTTCAAGGGTGTGCTTCCAAGCAACCAAGCAGTTGCAATCAAGGACTTGAAGGCAGCTGTATCAGAGAAGCAATTCAGGCAGCACTGTGTCAATTATAAGTAGCATTCGTGTACCATAAAAACCTGGTGAAGCTAGAGGGTTATTGTTGTGAGTAAGGCCAAAAGTTTTTGGTCTATGAGTTTATAAAGAATGGTTCAGTGGATAAGTGGATAGAGGAAGCTAGTCTCAGATATAAGAGGTTGACTTGGAAGAAGAGAATGGAGATTTGTATTGGTGTGGCAAGGGCCATGTCCTATTTGCACATTGGGTGTAGGGAGTTTGTAAGTCATGGGAATTTGAAGTGGGAGAATGTGGTTTTAGATGCTGAATTGGAGGCTAAGGTAACTGATGCCCCACCACCACTACATCTTCTGCAGCCCCTCCACTAGATATTCTGAAGGCACTCTCCCTTTGAGTCTTATCTTCTAATCCAGATTCAGCCAAGATAGTGTTCTACTACAACTGTCCCTACTATATTTTATTTGGTAGTTATGATAACTGTCCCTCTACTTCAATATCTGTCTAGCTTTGCTTGAATGAGTTCACATGTTTCTCTCTCTCTCTCTATATGAGCAGTGGGCTTTGGTTGTCTTGATTTATTCTTTGTTTTATTGTATCTTAATAAATTAATAATAGTTATGAAGGGAGACAAAAGCAATGAGGGAGGAGCTTCACGAGCTTCTCTTTCCTACATGATGATGAAACCCAAGAGCTACATGCTACATTAGAACAGCCATGAAAAATTAATAACTACCCAGAATGCTCTCTAATGGGATTTGAAGAAATCTGTATCATGTCTGCTCTGCCGAGAGAGAGAGAGAGAACTAACATATTATATCTCAAGATTCTAGGTGCCTGTTGCATTGTGGGTAGATAGCCACACTTGATTCATGTGACTCCCTCTAACAATGTTATTATGGATAAGGTTGGTGAGCCCAACATAGACAGCACTGTCACCAGCCTATTGACATGGATCAACATGGGACCCACTTTTCCAATAGATATTGAGGCAATGAGATCCATGAGATACACCATTAAAATATAGTTGGGGTTGGGGGGACCCACTTGAAATGATACAATATTGCATAAGATGGTTTCTAAGAACTTACACCTAATTTAATTGGAAAATATTTTGAGTTAAATGACACGTGGCAATGAAACCCAAAAGGGCTATACATGTTTCACTTTCACTCATCCCCCTTTATTCATGCTGCAAATTAATATCATCCCTGAAGTCCTTGACTCCTTGGTCTTTGCCACATGTCTGAATATATTTTAAGTACTTTTTTTTAAAAAAAGTAAAATATTGAAACCAAGAACCACTGGTATCACCTACTCACCTAGGGAAAGCTCCATTATTACTAATAGTAGCAGTAATAATAGAGCAGAGATCAACTAAACAAGCATCAACTCACATGTATAAGGAAAATAGCTTGATTGTAGGAAGTAGGAAGCTTTTCATATTATTAAATCAATGCTCTGCTATCAGTAGGCAGCAGATTTGCAAGTTGAGTTGCGTAGAGACAAAGCCTAAATGAACAGAAACCCTTCACATGGGCCATGGCTGCATGGCTGGGCCCCTAGTAAATGAAATTTTGGTTAAAAAATAAATAAATGAATACATGCTAAGATGCTAATATGAAAAGTTTGGCATATTTGTCTATGCAAATGTATAAAAATATTCATTTTATCAAATAGAATAATATTTTTATATTCTAAAGTATATTAACAAATAATAATTTTAGTAGATTTTAAAGAATAGTATTATTTTCATATTTTTCATATCTTTGAATAATTTGATACTTTATGTAGTTTCATATTTATGGTATTTTTTGCAATTTTTCTAAACAAATTTTGCAATTTTTTGCTATTTGTCTTTATTTCTACAATTTTCTGAGGTACCTCAATTAATAATCTCTCCATTCCAATCCTCTTTCCTCGTGTTCAGGTGTATTGTTCTAATAAATACTCTAAATTTTGTTGGATGATTTAGGTTATCTCAAGCATACCGCAATGGAGTTATGCAATTTATTGATTTTGCTTTCACTCATTCTTCACAAGCAGATAGGATTTTATGTCCATGCATTAGATGCAATAATTTGTTTTGGGTGACTAGATGGGATGCACGTGATCATCTTATATGTGAAGGATTTAGTACTAATTATACCTTTTGGAAATTTCATGGGGAAGAAAGTGCTTTTGTTATGCATGAATCTGGTAATACATTGAATGGTGATCCATGCCCAAATGATGACATGCGTGGATTACAACATAATGCATTTGGCTTCTCTTATTCAAGTGATGAAGATAATGATGCGGAGCAGAAACCTAAATATAGCAATGATTTTGAAGGTGGAAAATTTCTTAAGTTGTTAGAAGATGCAGACAAGGAATTATACCCGGGTTGTAAGAAGTTTACTAAACTTTCTTTCATTGTTGGGCTGTATCATATAAAATGTATTTCAAATTGGAGCAATCAATCATTCACAATGTTGCTTGAGTTGTTGAAGGATGCACTCCCCACCGGTGAAACTTTGCCAAACTCATTCTATGAAGTTAAGAAGATCATTGTTGACTTGGGTCTTAGTTACAATAAAATAGATGCTTGTCCAAATGATTGTATGTTATATTGGAAGGAGGCTGCCAATGACCAATCATGTTCTAAGTGTGGTGCTTCTAGATGGGATGAAGCTAAAAATTCAAATGGTGTGATAGGAACCTCATCCTTAAAGAATAAGAAAATTGTAGCAAAGATATTATGCCATTTTCCTTTAAAACCAAGGCTTCAGAGGTTATTTATATCATCACATACAACCACATTAATGAGATGGCATGAAGAGGGGCGCACAAAAGATGGAGTTTTAAGGCATCCGGTAGATTCCCCAACTTGGAAGACATTTGACAATCTACATCCTGATTTTAATGCAAACTGTCGCAGTGTAAGACTTGGTTTAGCAGCAGATGGTTTTAACCCATTTAGGACCATGAGTATTACTTATAGCACGTGGCCTGTTATTTTAATTCCATACAACTTACCACCATGGATGTGCATGAAACAATCATACTTCATCATTTTTTTACTTATTTCTGGTCCTTTCTTACCGGGTAATGATATTGATGTTTACTTACAGCCTTTGATAGATGATTTGAAAGAATTGTGGGAAGTTGGAGTAATTACTTTTGATGCTTCCACCAAAAAATTATTTCCATTATATGCTGCACTAATGTGGACTATTAGCGATTTTCCTGCCTATTCCATGCTATCAGGGTGGAGCACCAAAGGGCGCTATGCTTGTCTTTGTTGCAATAAGAAAACAAATGCCCAGTACTGTTATATGGGTCATCGGAGATTCTTAGAACATGATCACAAGTTTAGAACTGACAAAAGATCATTTAATGGAAAGAATGACTTCAGAACTGCTCCACCTACATTACATGGGTCTGATGTTTTATCTCAATTAGAAGGTTTCGTTAATACTTTTGGTAAGAAGCCAAGTACCCCTACCAATGAAAGCAAGAAAAGGAAGGTACATAATAAGTCCAAACAAATTGAGGAGCAAGATGGGTAGAAACAATCAAGCAAGTGCAAGAAATACTACAATTGGAAGAAGAAGAGTATTTTTTTTTATTTGCCATTGTGGAAAGATAATTTCGTTCGACACAATTTAGATGTAATGCACATTGAGAAAAATATATGTGACAGTGTGATAGGAACTTTACTGAATATTAAAGATAAAACAAAGGACAATCTAAGTACTCCTCTTGATTTGCAAAATATGGGTATTAGACAAGCGCTTCATCCACAACCTGCCCCTGGAGGCAAGATGTATTTGCCTCCTTCATGCTTCACAATGACAACAGATGAGAAAGAGATTTTTTGTTTAGTACTACAAGAGTTAAAAGTCCCTGATGGATACTCATTTAATATTTCAAGACGTGTAAATCTTAAAGAGCGGACTCAAGAGCCATGATTGTCACATTCTGATGCAACAACTTCTTCCGTTAGCCATACGGAAAACATTACCTAAAAATGTGAGATTAGTTTTACTTGAATTGAGCAATTTCTTTAACGGACTATGTTTTAAGGTTGGGCAAGTGAGGGAGTTTGATAGATTAGAGTCCCAAATTGCACTTACACTTTGTAAGTTAGAACGGATATTTCCTTCTGCATTTTTTGATATTATGGTGCATTTGCCAATTCATTTAGTGCGTGAAGCAAGGATAGCTGGTTCAGTACAATATCATTTGATGTATCCAATTGAAAGGTCAGTTAAAGTTTTATTATTTAGTGTTCTTCATGTTATAATATAAACTTTGTATTCTATATTTTTAATTATGTATATGTATAAGTATAGGTACCTACTCACGTTGTAGTCTTATGTGCGTAATAGAAGTCGACGTGAGGGATCGATTGTAGAAGTCTTATGTATAACTATAGGTACCTACTGCATTTTTTCTGCAATTTTTTTGTATTTTCCTGGTATTTTCTGCAATTTTTATGCAAATTTCTGGTACTTTTCTGCATTTTCTGTAATTTTTTTTGCAATTTCTACTATTTTGTGGTATTTTTCTGCATTTTTGGAATTTTTTGTAATTTCTGTAATTTTCTACAATTTCTGCAATTTTTTTGCAATTTTCTCCTACTTTGTGGTATTTTTCTGCAATTGTTTGGTATTTTTCTGCATTTTCTAGTATTTTTTTGCATTTTTTGCAATTCTGTAATTTTCTGCAATTCTATTATTTTCTACTATTTTGTGGTCTTTTTTGCTATTTCTGCTACTTTTTTGCTATTTTCCTGCAATTTTCTGCTATGTTTTGGTATTTACCTTCTTTGGGATTCCCTCTAGAAACAATTGACCAGCAGAAACCTACAAGGCCATAACAATATTAGTTATCCTACCTTCTTGACAAGGTTCATAGTCCTAACTTGGCGCCATCCTTGATGAAGCTCCACCACAGATTGGTAAGGGGGATGGTAGTGGCATGCCAAAGAGCATGAGCATTACCAAATCCCTTGTATGGAGGAAAATCATACATCTCCAAAAGCATAGCAAGACCACCTCCTACAACAACGACCCATAACTTCCAACGTGAAGGATGGTGAGTGAGACCAACCCAAACAGCCCACAGTAGAAGCTGAACTACACCCATGGAAACACACACTTTCATGTTTAATCCTGCAAGATTTACTGAAAGATTAGACCCTTGAATCAAAATAACTGCAAGAGGAAACAAATATTTTCATCAGGAAAAAAAACTCAGTTCTAAATTATATGTTAATATTAAAAGTTTAGGTTTGAGCATGATTCATATATGATTCCATGCCAGCATCACTTGACTGACAACTCGTATGCATGCTCGCTTTGAGATGGTTATAGGCACTAACATATTAACCAACTTTCTACATCTTCAATTTTGTATGCAATTGTTAAATCATTTATATGTTTTCTATACAGAAATCTACTCCTAATTTTATGGACATTCTTCTCTTTTTCCTTAGTTTAATCCATGTTTCATTAAAGAAAATGATATCCCATGAGGGTTAAGTTTCACCTCGAGACTAACGAATTACCTAACTGGAAGTCCTGGTTCTTTGAATCACTCTCTTGGTGCTTCAAAGATTGATAATTTGATATATGTAAGAGAGAGGTCTAAATTTTGATATTATTTAATTAACAAGGCCATAAGTCTTCAAGATAGCCATGCATATTTTCTTTTTAATTTCTTACTACCCAGAAGTTAAAAAATTGCAAAGCACTAAATAGTTATATCTTTTCTCTAGTCGTTCTGTATTTCTTTTCTCCTTCTTTCTCTATTGATTGGCTGCTTTATTTCTAATACAACAGCTATTTATCTTTGGCTTCCTTCTAATTTTTATTGCCAAAGTTTTGAATTTTTAACTCAGCATCTTTTTACTCAGTCTAGCTAGCTCTATTTCATCTTTATTATTAAATCTGAATATCAAATTCTCATAATCTGCTGCATATAAATTCGTTTGCCATTTCAAACTGCTGCATTATATTAATGCAACAAGTTATTATATTGAATTGTTATATGTGATACATGGTGGAGATATAAAGGGGGGTCAGAGTTAGAATTAGTAAAAGAAAACTAAAGCAAAGACAAAGAGTTCCTAAGAAGTAAAAAGGACTAAGGGAGACGGAAACTAGGATAGAACAGCCAATGCCATTTTCATGGTCCTAGTTTGTATAGTGTTCCCAAGTGAGGTTCTGTGAAACTGTAGCTTAATCTCCCCATTGCCCTATTGCTTGAGGTGAAGATTAGAAGATTTCTACCATGTTCTTTCTAATGAAGTAACGACTTAGGAGACATGTTTCCAAACTCCTTAGAGGTCAAGACCCATGAAATCTTGAACTAAGGGGGAGAGAATGTGGCCTTTGAATGTGTCAAAGGATGGCTTCTTGCTTTGAAAGGTATGCTTATTCCTTTTTTCCCATGTTCCCCACATGACAGAATGAACAATGATTATCCCATATGACCTTCCCTTGACTCGATTCATGTGCCCTTCCAAAGGATCCAACCAACCTTGATATGAAATGATACTGAGGGTCTCTCAGGAACTTATAGGTTGCCCTTTCTATACTTTAACTAGCCAAAAGTGGCCAGCCTCGGAACCCGGAGTGAGATATTTTATCCTGGATGTCCACATTGTTGCCCCTAATCACCTACAAATGATTTCATTTGTCTTGTAAATTATGTTAGCTTTTGGCTCCCCTTCCATTGTAACCCTCAACATTTCTACCAAGTTAGGTGACTATATACCTTGGAATAAGGCTCAGGCTACAGTTCTAATTGCACCATTTTCGTCTTCTGGGCTTTGGAACACTTGTGCCTTCACCATCCTTGGAAATGCCTTCTGTCCTTGAAGGTGTTAGACTTCCAACCGAATATCAATAAAAGCTTAGCATCTCCATATTTGGCTTTGGGAGTTTGGGTGCTATTACTTTACCACCTTTGGATGGAATACCGATTTCTTATAATGCTCAATGAAAGTGCTACCTCAATAACTCTAACTCTAACACACAATGCATCCTTCTAAGTTTCATACAGTTAATGCGGAAGTTATGGATATCTATCTTCTATCTCCCTCATATTCTTTCTGCCCCAATATAATGGGCTGTAGTATATATCTCCAAATATAATTGGCTGCAAAACAATGAATGCATACATGGGTTGCTCATTCTCCATAAAGTTGCATATTTTACATGTGTAGCCATAGTTTTCATTCTTTTTTATCTTGATTATTAAATTAGATGTGTTCCTGGGATAGCTGGCAACTTCAGAAAGCCTTTGTATTAAAACTGGAGAGGCTTTTTCGTTTTTTTACAAAGCTTCAAAGAATAGGCCATTTATAAGAAAAAGTACTATGCAAGCCACAGTGACTAGAGATTATTATTATATTATGAGGGAGAGATCAATGCATATTAGGAGTGCTCAATAAGATTAGTAATTTGATTGGTTTCATCTTTTTGAAGTTCCTGGAAAATGGTTAGATTCCATGAGAGTCTAAATAACAAATGAATGAATAAATCAACCTATCTTTGTTTCTTTTAGGAAGGGAGGTTGTTCTAACAATGATAACCAGAAGCAAGTGCTCCTTTTTTACTCCAAATATCTTACTAGAACCTTACCCCCATCAAGGGACTATAAATGGAAGACTTTTTGTCATTGGATCTTATCACACCTTGAGTCCCCCTGATAGTAAGCATTACAACTAAAACGCCTTAGGAGCTAAAGCTTTCTAAGTCACTTTCAATATGTTTTTAATACTACGCCAGTTTTTCACAGTAGAATGAAATAGTAGGGTATGGTAAGGAATGGGTATAGGTTGTACCCTTGTAAGTGGAATTATATAGTTTAATCATGTCCTTATATATTGCTTACTTAGTTTAAATCTTGTACACAGTTGGGGTAGTATGCCGAGTTTTCCATGATACGAAAAACTGGAAAAAGCTCAGACCCCCTTATGAAAAGGGGTTTCAACCAGTGTTACATGGAATGTTCTAAGTGGATGGAAGTATCTACTTCTGATTCCAACACTCTATGCATTCCTAATAGAAACTTCAACAAAACATTTTCCTTTATCTATCTGCTTATTTGACATAATTGAATAATTAGTGATGAGGGCGGATTTGGCCCTCCAGTGAAATTGTGACACTTGGCACCTCGTGCCAACCAAGTGCAGCCTCTCAACAACTGGGCAGCTCGRGCAGCTCGGCAAAGCTTGCGACAGGCAGCTTGCCACTTATAGACAGCTTGGCATAGCTTGCCACAAGCAGCTCGGCAGAGCTCGCCGCAAGCAGCTCGGCATAGCTCTCCCCCAGGCAGCTCACCACTTGCAGGGTAGCTCGGTACAAGGTAGAGCAGTTCGGCATATCGCAGGAAGATCCCCTGCCTGACAACTGTACCTGACAGATCCGGAGACCTGCGCCCATGTCTCTCGCCAGGCGGCGCCGTGCCTGCCAGCCCTGAGAGCTGTCCCTTGACTGGCAGAGACGTACTCTGCAGCAGCCACCTGCACCCGCCACCTCAGCTCTGGCAGTAACGG